GCTATGTGTGTTTATTTTAAGTGTGATTTCGTGTGTCGTGACTCGAGATAGTGAAAAATTCTTTCTTTGAAATTATTGACGATGTGGTTAAAAGACGTATTCAATATACTTAATGGGAAACCCCACCTGTTCTGTTCCTTATAACGCTATCATCAAAGAGGGATTTTTACGGGTTTCTAATATATACATACATATACATATGTACAATACTAAGTTTATTCCTATTCTATCTGAAACGTTTAGCTTTTGTAGTTAACGTTAACCTCATAATTTGGTTTATCTGCTCGATACTAAACTTTTATTAATAAATTAAAATTTTATTTTTTTGACTACAAATTTCTATGGCCTACCTACATACTTTGCTAATGAAAATCCTTATCAAACAGTAACCGAGATTTAATGTTGAGTGTCAAATCTTACAAACACTGAATGCGTCCTTGGTATAACAAATTATTTTATTTATACGGTATAGTGAAGTGACTCCATAAACCACCCCCATACAATAAATTTCCCTCACTAGAATGAGAGAATTATCGCACTCTTCCCTATTGCAAGAAGTTTAAACTACATATTATAATCAATATAACAGTAGAATTACTAAGAAGAAGGTCGATAGAAAGTCCTACTTTATAGCTCTTTTACAAAGTACTACAGGACAGCATCCACATACTTCAAGCTTAACATAAGGTATCTTATTTTGTTTAAGTTGTGTCAACATAATAATATTAATCTTTATTCAAATAAACAAATAAATATGTTGTTGGTTAAGAGTACTTCATTGTGAATTTAAAAAAACATAGGTTTTATCCTGAAAATTCTACGGGAACTCGACCATTCCGAAAACCCAGCAAGAACGGGAACTATGTGGGAAGAACCAAAAATCTTCCGGAAGTCACTATCCCACGCGGACGAAGTCGCGGCAAAAGCTAGTTTCCAATAAGAAAGACTGAGATGGGAATTCAAAACTTAAATGATATTTATTGCCAAATCGGTATATAAAGAATTTAAGTGCCCAAATGTACGGCAGTTAGAAATTAGGAATCAAGATTTCATTGCGTAAAGAATTTGTTATAGTCCTCTTCTGAATCAAACTATCCTTTATTAGAAGATGATTGCAAACAAATTTGTCTGGTAGCTATCAGAATTCCTTAACCCTATATCACATGTAGCCCAGACAAAAAACACTCATAATGACTACACGACCCAATGGCAGCATATGCATAACAAAAAAAGTTCTTTTCTTAAAATCACGAAATTTTATACGTAGATATTTGTTTTATATACAATTAGTACGTTGTAATTATGATGCTATTTTAAGGTGAAGGATTATGTTTGATGAAGATTAAGCTTAGGATGCTAGACAGAAAGTTGAAAATATTCTTAGCCCGTTTTATAATATCATGAAAAAAAAACATTTATCATGCACTTGCTTTTTATATTTCCGAACAAAATAAATTGTTGTATTAACTCAAAAAATTCTTATTCAAGAAGTTTGGCTTTAATTTTCAGGAAAATTAATTTATTTAAAGAATTACCAATTTAGTAATATAATATTTTTATAATAGATGCATTTTAACGTGTTTTAACAATGGAATTTTGATTTTTATTTAGACTTTAGACGAAGTAATTGATTACAAATGAGCGTATTCCAAACAAGAGAACTTAAACGCCTTATCAATACCGATACGGATTTCCGAACCCAAAGTTCATTTCCTTGAAAGGTTCAAGATAAATCAGATTTCTATGTCTAATTAATTAAATACTTTATAAGGTATAGTTTTATTTAAATGCTAGAGTTGCCTTAGTCTACAGGGAAAGTTATTACATAAGTGACGCCGTCTCGTTTAAAGTTGAAAAATATTAATATTTAATATTGAAGAAGATTTTTATAATTCTGATAGATATCTTATAGGTTTACCAACAGTAAAAAATATTATAGATACACATAGTTACTATCAACTAAGCCTAATAGTAACAGACTTCTCAGGTTCCAAATATTCATTCGATTAATTTTATTTGTGTCATCTTATACATTAAGGTAAAAAATTTAAAGGAATAAAATCGCTAGAGGTGTATTTAAAATAAGATGATTTTCTATATTTCTAGTAAGATCTATCAATCTTATTAGATATTTCCATGATGTAATTTCCATGGTTTCATATGTGGCTGGACATATATTCCCGAGACCTGAGGTAGAGCGTAGTTCTTCGTTTGGCAGATAACCACTTTAGCTGGACCGTCAGTTGAAGGTTTTGGCGATCGAACTAACAATAATTCAGTCCAGTATTCTTCTGGGAAACAACGAATTCTATATCTATCAGAATCTCGACTAATGACGACTAATCAACTGATATTGTCTCAACATTACCTTTTGCCTTGTTTTCTGTTAAATTATTTCATTGTTGAATCGAAAGAAGTGTGAAATAAAGTAAATGACGATTCGAATTATGAGCTGTACTTAATTCTCAAAAGCAATAGTGACGAGATGAAGATGCTTTGTTTGTATTCAGCGCTCTATAAGGCCTAAGATATTTGGAGAGATTGCATAGGGAATTTAGGTTGATGTTGCACCAAATATTCCTCGTGTGCAAGTATTTGTTTGAGCTAGAAGATCCGATGATAAGTTTTCACAGCTTACGTCAAGTCTTAACTTAAGAAAGTCAATGTTCCCAATAATTTGGTTACCAGTTCTTGCAGTCACACCAGAATCCTGCTACTTCCTCAATTGCACCACTCTAGTCTCTCGTATACATAGCCGATACATGAAAGAATACTAAACCATTTCCGACAAAATGAGGATAACAAGGTTGGCTAATTGATTTTATTGAATATACAAATAGTTCTCCACATTAACAGGAAGATCGGTCATAATGATGATTTGCTATATTACAGTAAGAATTATCAAAGTCTGTAAATTTCTGTGCGTAATACATAATGTTTCATGGAGACTTGACGTTTTTATTATATATGTATATAAATTATCATATAGTTTCAATGTCTAACGTCATTCAGTACTTTACATTGTGAACTTTACATTACGTGTGTAGACATAATAGATAATTATTTTCCTCAAATCAAAGGATATATTACGTATTCCCTTTATTTCTAATTCTTCAATACTTGTATTATATTTTAACTTTATTATGTTTTAACTTTAAGCTTACTGAAGTCAAGGCAAGTTATTGTAAATCGTAATTAGTAAAGAAACTGTAACTTACTAATTCAGTAGTTGCAGAATACAGTCAAATCCGTCAGTCAGTTCAAGTCCCTTTCATGCCATATTTTTTTCATTACGTATTTACTTTACTTTTAGTTTAACTTTAATTATAATTAATTATCTACCCAAGCTTGATACATTTTGAAGATGTCGTATTTGTTTACGATTTAATAATTCTATAACTTTTATCTTTTTTTAGATAATATAATTAATTGTATTTTACGTATGACATTCGCTTTGGAAGTATGTAAATAAATAAAATAAACATTGCTTAATTTTATTTTTAAAGATTTTAAAGTCAACCCCATATGTACCATCTTGTCCGTGACGTATTAATCATTCATTCATTTTCAATCTATCGTAAAATTTTTAAATTTCACTTTCATTCATTTATTGTCACATATTAAAAATGTTGTGTTTAAATTAATTACGAATCTGAAAAGTTTAACTTTGAAAGTGTTTGGAGTTGTTGAATTAAACGAACTCTCTAAAGTAACTTTAATTTGTACCTATACCTTTTTTTGAGCAATGACGATTTTAAAAATTATTGTTTTCTAAACATGTTCTTGGATTTCTAAGAAAACATTTTTCTCCATATACTACAAATATTTTATCAAATATTACTAAATATTATGCAACAACAACAATATGAGTATAAAGCTACAGCGACAAATAAATTTTATCAATGATTATTGATAAATACGATTTTCATTATGATTGTTTTATTTCAGTTTTACTCAAAACTATCATTACATTCATAAAGGACAGAAATAGAAATAGAAAATTCTTAAATTACATAGAAACTGAAAAATAGATGATGCAATATATTCTACTTGCAGTTGTTATTTAATCGGTTGATTAAACACAGGAACAGTAAGTAATTAGTCAAGACAAAAATTATTTTAAAAATCGACTGAATTCAAAATTTACTTACAAGAATTTTACTGTAAATTATATTATGAACAATTATCGACAAAGAGGTACGCTTAAGTATTAATTAGAAGGAATACTACTTAACCAGTTAATCACTTTGTTTAGCTTATCTACTAATCACTTACTGAGAAGGTAAATAAAATATTTGTCAATACTTCAAGTTTCGAAAAAAATTGACTTACTTTTTGATCCCCTCATGGTACTAGTATCTATAAAGGTAGGAGCAATTTCGACGTTGGGCATTTTTTCAGTGTTGAAGGTCAAAGTATAAAAAGTCATCCAAACAAAGTATCTATTTTTTGAGCTTTAGTTACTAAAAATGTTCAGAGGAATTATTTGACACAGTGCCATCTTTAATAATAGATGTAGATATTATATTCAACCACAATCAAACATCTCATTCATCTGGATGCACTCGAGTATTTAACAGTATGTGTGTAGCTATTCCTCTTTCCACGCACTTGGCAGATTGTGTAATGGTCACCCATCTAATGCCGGCCACACACGTTACAGTATACTTGTGTTAGTCAGGAATTGCGCATGTATAGTGTAACGTGTGTGATCGGCATAAAGTTTTTCCTCAGAACTACAAAGTTGAGTATAAACGCTTCTACAGCATAGACAAGGCTGACAAAACATGACAAATCCTCTTTACAAATCTTGACGGAAAACGTTGACCACTTATCCTGTTTAAGTAACAAAAAACTATATGGCTATTTAATTATACGTTGTGATAGTAAACACATTCCTGAACATTAAGTAAAAAATAATGACGTCTAACAAATAAAATTTGAAACGGTGGAGTCCCTACAGCAAGTTAATTAATCGTGAATCAAACTGCGTATAATAGTTGAGGATAGTTGATAGCGAGGCAAGTGCGTCCGAATGGCGAGATGGCGACCCGAGCGGTCATACGACGCGACGCCACTTCTCTATCAGCGCCCTCCCCCGTCCCCTGCCCCCTGCGGCCAGCGAGGCGCCCGCGAACGGAATTCGCACGGCCGCCGCGCCTCGCGACGCCGTCATTCAGTGTACTAGCGACCGTTCCCGCTCGAGGACGAATTGTTACACGCGTAACGCACTTAATACGCAGTTACGAGATACGCCGACCGCGTGCGCTTTTAATAACGGACAAGAAAAATAGTTTATTTGTATACCGTCGCGTTTGTTATACCAACAATACCAAAGTGCAATACCCAGTGATAATCGTTATCAGTGCAGAAAAGTTTCCACAAAGTGCGAAACGAACTTGAGGACGCTTGAAATTTTTTTTGTGAGTTGTTGATGCTTGTGATAATAAAAGACGGGTACAGTTTTTAGCCACGTTACAAGGTTGTCGTGCCTTTAAACCGCCAGAGATGAATTGGAAAATCGGCGCGTAGTCGCTCACGTGGTGTTCGCCCCGCCCCCTCCTCGCACCGCTCAACACTTATATTTAGCGAAAATCGCCTCTAGGGAGCGGCCCGAGGCGCGTTGGCAGATACATCCACGATCATCTCTGTTTATGAACGTTAGCACGACGCCACATGTTATTGGCTTCGTGTAACAACTGCGATAAGAAGTTAGATAACCTTTACGGATAACGGGTTGCGGGCCGGTCTTGAGCACTTCTGGAAAAAGAAAGAAAATAGTTACGAGACTCTAAGGTTGTGATGATAATAAACAGAATACGGTCGCGCTGGTGAGCGCGCCTCTCGGTCGACACACCCACGTAACTATTTATCAGTGATACGCAATAAGATGTCTTTACAGAGAGGTATTTACCAGAGTCCCTGGTCCTCACAGACGGCCCTATCAGAATTGGAGGGAATGGGTGAACTAGAACCTCTGGGGGAACTGGGAGAAGTCGGCTTTGAGCCACAGACGCGCGCTCGATCCAACACGTGGCCGTTACCGAGGCCAGAAAACTATATCGAACCTGACGACGGTGGCTCAAAGAAAAATTCAAACCAGAACTTAACTGGTAAATATATGGTTATAATAAAACTATCGACTTTGTTAATACTGAACAAATTGTAAGGAATAAGGTTGACGCGTTGCTGTTTGTTAGTAAACAACGTTACGAATTCTTCCATACAATAACTTAATACAACGATTATTTATTTCAAAAACGATGTTTATATGTAAAATGAACATATTTATTCTTTAGGAAACACATCAAAAATACTATTCATGCAATATTTTCGCTAAGTTTATTTAGTGAATTTTTCGAAAGTTAGCGTAATACAATATTCCTTTTATATCAAGTGTAATTTAATAGCTGAAGCAAAACATAACTCACCTACGTATTTTATTAAAGATTAATCATTTACGGTAAAGACAATATGAGATAGGATGTTATTAAATATGGTTCAATACCAAAAGATTCAGTGAAACTATAGGTAGGTACCTAGAATAAATTATGATAAAAAATGCATAATTCACCAAGTCAAGTTAGGTCACGATAATTTAATTGGTAAAGCAAATGTAAGGAGATATTCCGGAACTTGCAAGATCATATTCAGCTCGTATAAATAATTAATTCATATTCTAATTGAATTTTTAGTTTCGGTTACTTAAATTTGACATCCTAAATAACAATAGATCTTCAAATAAATACCAAACAGTGATAACAGTTAGTGAGCTCCGATGGCACGTTCCACTAAGACATCAAACATTTAATTATTGAAACACATTATCTTAACAAAATAAAGTAATCTCCTTGGACATTGATACACACGCGTAAGAAATTGTGTATAAATTATGTTTAATTAAAGTAAAATAAATACTGTTGTATTAACAATAGAGAATAATAAGTCTTTAGGAATTTCGATTTAATTGAATACATATATTTAAATATATTAGTACATATTATTTTTATTTCTAGGTGCACCACCATTGCCGTCAACGTCAGGCACAACTAAGAAAAATTCGTCCCGGCGTAATGCTTGGGGTAATCTTTCCTATGCCGATCTCATTACTCAAGCAATTACCTCCTCTCAGGACAACAGATTAACATTGTCCCAAATATACGAGTGGATGGTCCAAAATGTGCCATATTTTAAGGATAAGGGAGATAGTAATTCATCAGCCGGATGGAAGGTAAGGATACTATTATAAACTAACTTAATATCCAGGTGTAAATATTACAAACGTCTTCGGCATTTTTCCGCGAAAGTTGCAAAGGAACGTTCGAAAAGTTTTTAAAGACATTTTAATGAATCACTTGGCTATGAGCCACTGGATCCACCTAAATTCTGCAATAATGTAGGTATGCCGTTTCTTTTTGTGTATTAAATAATATATTGCGTATGAAAATAAGAGAAAAATATTTGAATATAATATTTTTCATAATAAAAATCAAATTAAATAGCATTCGTTATTATAGTTAATAGTATATAATGACAAAGTTTTTAATTAAACATACGGTTAATTTCTTAGAAACTTAAGAGAGAAAAGTTAAGAAATAAAGCAATGTCCACACTTAAGCGTCGATAAGTACAAGTGCCACAGAATATGTAATTTACAGAATACGAAACAGTATTTCTACTTACATATTATAACATTTTTGTTTGCTTTTGTTCCGGAATTATTTTCTTTATTAACAACATACTGATATTCATATTGTTTCATTTTAAATTTCAATCACATATCATCCAGCCCGCCGCTAGTAGGTTCCTATAATAGTGTTGCCAATAATAATTAACTCATAGAATCACTGGCTTCTTTTCAACGTCTGTGCGCAAGTTAACAACGATTTCCGCGTTCCATTCTACCAAAGTATCAATTCTGTCGATATTCGATAAAAAATTATCACAACACTACGTTCAGTATCATTTAATGAAGTAAAAAAGTTGATTGTATAAAAATATTTACATTGTCAAATCATTACGTCAAATGTCATCACGATATTAGACATAAGTTTGTAATAAGAGTAGTTCTATAACCGTGATGTAGTTATAGATTCCTGGTAGTGTTATTTTTTGTCAACTGCGCAGTAGCAGCCGTTATCTCTATCCGAGCTGCGACACGACCGATATAAATGATAATAAAAACACTATTATACACTCAATCCATGTCATTACTATCGAATATATAGCCGGAGACGTATCCATTACCATTGCCACACAGATAAATTTAAACTCTATTGATACAAACACAGCAATGGAATGCGAAAGAGAAATAATATCGTACTATGTTTACAAATGTTACGATCACATGACGTATAAGAAACACCGAAATGGAGAAGGATGAATATGTAAATTTAAATTATATTCCGATGTAATTTTTTTTTTTGCTTTTTCCGTCGATAAGATGTATTAGACAAATCAAAGATCATCTTTGACTTACAAAGGCGACCTTAAGATGAAATCCGTGGCATTGATTTATGTTTACGCACATAATACCTATTGGGGCGCCATCGATCAGTTAAACGATTCTGATGATTACAGCATACGTAATAATGTTTAAAATTCGTGGCTCTCGAACCATGTCATTGTATGCTTAAATAATTAGCGTGTTGATATCGCTCGTCACTTTCACACGCGCGGTTGTTGTCTAGTGTGCGAGCAGGACGGGAACATGTTCCTCCTGAGGTGAATGAATGTAACAGAAGTCGACACGTGCTCCTCAATTTAGAATAATATAGGAAATGTGTATTTTGTTTTGACGAATATATTTTCTAATTGATATAATCTTATCAGTAATGTCGATAACTTAATAGTATTAAATTAATTTATAAAAATTAATAATGTTCGTTACAAATACATATATTGAGATGTTCTAAAATTCTTAAGTATATATTGTCCATCGTAATAAAGTTATTTTCTTATAAGAAATTAATTCTAAGATGCATATCATTACGATTGAATTTGGCTTACTACGTTTTTGTTTTGTCTCGCCATGAGTTAATGCATTTAAATAGAAATTTGATTTCTATTGAAAACTAGACTAAACATTTCAAAGAGAACATATTTCGTTACACACGACTATTGGAAATAGATTCCTAATATACACATACTACGATAGTTAAAAAAAACAATAGCATTTTAAAACAATTTGTTTTTTGCGTATATATGTTGATACGACGTTAAATTCGAGAAATAATTATTCACACTGGCAACATCCATATAAAGCTTGTACGGGGAATCACTAGAAAGTAGCGAAAAATTAAACGAAATTGAGGATACGACTAACTCTAAAATATGTTTCATGAGCCAAAATATTATTGTAGGTACATATAACAAAAACGTGATCAGTAAATAATTTTGTATTCCTGGTGTTAGCGCTTTGGATCCCATTGAATATCAAATGTATTCTACCGTTAAAGGAAACCGTTAGCACTCAACATATCCTTGAAAAGACATTGGTAAGAAAAAAACAAATACTATTCAATAATTCCGTTAAATTCCCTAGATGTAATTATTTATTATTACACGATGAGATCCGATGAGTTATGTCCACAATATGATTTCCATGAATGTTATCTTCAACGTATAATCGTTGGAAATTTCCAACGGAGACCTTTCTTAATAGTAATTGAGGTTACATTGATTTACCGTCTCCCCATCTAGTGTTGATATGATAAGTTCGTATTTATACAGTCATGTGATAATTAGGTACTACTGAAACTAACGTCATATTTTTAACTTATATAATTACGTAATTTTCGGCCTAGGATACTTTTTTTTTTTAAACCTGCCAGCATTTTATTTATAATAAATATTTTTTAACCAAAAAGTTTTTATATATTTTTTTAATGAGACCTTCTTATTTATATATTACATATGTACCTACAATTCTTTGCCTGTGATCGTGAACTTGCAGCCGATGTTAATAATATCTGATAAGGCAGACATTGACACGTTTAGCGAAATATGTAAAGATAACATACAAATATGTTAATATATTTATAGTTATTCGTTTGAAACATATATAGTGAAAATAGTTCATCAGTATATATATTGGCGAGCTTAATTTACTGAATAATTACATAAAAAAAATTAACAAGAAAATAATATAGTTGAATATAACTTTTAGTCTATTTTTCATATACTAATTATACCGGATTTCTTTTATTTTAAGAAGTTTCCCCTTAGTTCTGAGTTTTTATACAAACGGATGCAATACTACATAAACTTGCTAACTCCATAGATACCCTTCCCATTTTATGGTATAAGGAATCAGCAGTGGAAGTCGTATATTGTTTAACTGTACTTACGGTTCCATTTTAAGTATTTTTATAAAGTAAATATATAGCAAAACTCCTCTGTCTGTTACTTATACATGTCTAAAACTAAAATATTGATAATTAAATAAAATAAAAGGGATTATTTTATCCATAATACTCTACTTTCATTAATTACTAGCTGACACTTGTGTTTTAATTTGCATAAACTGGAATATCTATAAAAAAAGTATGAGCAAAATTCTCACTTGTCTAGACACGTAGCGCTTATAAAAATATTTATTTCTAAAAGTTCCAATAGCAGTTAACTAAATGAAGCTATCGCAATTATTTTTAGGAGAAAAATGTGTAAGAAACAATAGAAAAAAGAAATAAAATCTATCTAAACTTATAGATTAATCAATTAATGTACAATTTTAACTTTTCTGAAACTCAACATTGGGTGTCAAACATCGGAAAAGTTACCTTAACTAGGCATTTTCATAAAGCTTTGCATTGACTAATTCTATAAAGTCAAAAAAGACTTATTAATTATTACTGGATAAGAATTTTTGTTTCATATTTATTTTAATTAATTAAAATAAAAGAAAAATAAGATAAAAAATCGCATTATACTTTCATTTTAATATATTTTTATTTTATAATTATATAGGGTCATCTCTTACTCTCACCTATTAATTGACATTTATAAGACATTAATTCTTCATTTGATATTCAGTCTTATTTTAGCGTCAGTAAAGTTGCTAATTGCCTGTCAATTTTAATATCTTATCGTATTGGAAGAAGTTACGTTTTCCTGTTAGTGACAACAGTCGAACAGATTGCTTTGATTAAACTATTATATTACAAATTCATATATTTTTATGTATTCAATTCGCTTAATACAAGTTTATATCATGCATTACGTTACTTCAATAGTTTAAATTCAAATTTCGAATGTTACTATTATTGCCCTAATAACAAGAAATGAAAAACGAGAAAAATTTCGTTTGTACTGACTATGGTGACTCGTAGTAAGTATACAGGGTGACTGGTGAATTACTATCGATACTTGAGGACGTGATATTTGACGATCATATATGACAAAATAAAAATTAATATAACATAAATATTAATAAACTTCTAAGTAAAGTTAACCTAAAGTTATGTAATTAATTACGCATCGTGTGAACACCCTACAGATTAGGTATACACACACACACACACGTCCACACTTGGAACACTCGGAACGTGTCCACACTTTATTTATTTATACGGAAATTTTGTCAAAAATTAAGTACCTATTTTTTTTACATAATTCGAATGAGAATCATGTACCGAGTATTCTCCTTAAATATTGATAGTAATTCACCAGTCACCCTGTATAGGTGTCCTGTTAAATGCATAATAATTGCCTCGTCATAGTAAAAGTTCATCGCTTCAACCGGCCTTGGACGTTTGTTTTAACTGTATCGACCGAATTTAGTCGGGGGATTCGGAAAGTTTTGGTTATTACGTTTATTTTGGCAATATCAAACTGGGATATTGAAACTTAAACATAACGGGGGCTATCAACTTAATACAAATTACGATACTTATGTATAGTTTCTTTACAAATTACAATTAATATCCTGCTTCTAATAGATTATTATAAGCGGTTAAAATATTTTATTGAAAGACAATTTAAAAGAATTCAGAAGTATGCAAACTATGCAAATAATACTCTATATTTCTGCCTCGTATTTTATCTATTTTTTACTATTTACAAATATTTAAGAAACTGCTTCTAACACATGCATTATGATAAAATATTTTTATTTAATACATTATCTAATTATATAATTATCTGATAAGATACGTTCATACAAGGATTAGAGGGCCGGAAATTAACACAATTGGTAGAAAAGATACCATTTAGACTAATTAACTTATATGT